TTTTGAGTAAAATATTATTAAATCCAGTTTTAGTTTTTGTTTAATAAAATTTTTATGTAATTAAATTTTTTTTCGTGCACAAGTGTGATGATGTGTGAGGTTGTTGTTGGTGAGCGACCATAACCATATAACGATATTTGGTTTTGCGTGCATTCAGTCAAGCGCGTGTGAAATTGTATGGCATGATCGAGTGGAATTTATTCAGAGTTGCATTTTCATTGAGTATTTCGATTATTCAGTTTATTGTTGTTTATTGATGAACGAACAGTTTTTGATGATTTTGTTGATGATGATATGCGAATTGGTTGAACGTTATATTTCGTTGCCATAATTTATTAAATAAATATTTCATTGTTGTCGTTTGCCGCACGCAATCAGCCATGAATGCCAATTAGCAAATTCCAGTTTGAAAATTTGTTTTGGTTTCCAAGTTCATTTAATGCAATTATTCCATTATGAAAATTTTCAATTTTAACGCAGCATTTGTTCATTCGTTTTCATTAAAATTTCATTAATTTGGCGAGCGGAAACGAGAAGAAAGTATTGAAGAGATTGGTTCCAGTTAATTATCTTTGCGCTAGAGCGTTTTTGTGAGCGTCTCTACATAGTATATGAGACAGTGCAACAACTTACAACAACATCGAGCGTTGATGAGACATAAAATACTGGCTATAGTACTTATTATTTGTTATTACTTTTGTAGTAGTACAACAATAGTACGAAAATATCATAGATTTATATTATATATAGACACAAATACTTAGAAACATATTTAATTTGTGCGTAGCTGGTGGTATGTAATACATATAAATTTATATATATTTGTACATTTAATATCTTTTAAGGTAAATATGTATAGTTTTTACGTCACTTTCTTAGTAGTGTTTGAAAAAAATCGCTTCGATTTTCGAAATACATTCTTTGGTTAGCCACACATTTTATTTAGCACATTTACTAGTAATATTTAATACAAAGAATGAATAAAAAATTGTTTTTTAAACTCCTCATTTGAGGTGTTGACACATACATATTATAATGAATATAACGCACACTACACTCAAAAATTTTCCGATAATTAATTTCACTTTTTTTCACAATAAAATTTCTATCAGCCAGTAAGACTTGTATTATGTTGTTTTGAATAGTGTCGATATCTACTAACTGATCAAATTTGACCCGGACTATCTGAAGGCAGTTTACTTCACGAACTAAACCGATGATTTTTCTCTATATTTTGCAATCTCCTTTTTCTATGAAGATCAAACTTCATATGTCCAGTGGAATGACGGCTCAGTGAAAGTACTGAAGTCATGCGAGTTGACAATAACATCGAAAAAGTTAAAGAAATTGTTCTTCAAAATCTTTTTGTTGGTACCTGAGAGTTAGCAGAGGTTATTGACATATGTAATTTTGGTTAATTTTTTGGGTAAGAAGTGTGTTAATGCTAGACTCGTACCAAAAATTCTGAATATTTTTTTTGTCCAATGGGATAACGGCTCAAATAAGGCTTTTAGTGTCATGACTTTCACTGCAATTTGTCGCATGCGATTTGACGATAACATGGAACAAGTTAAAGAGTCATAGGAGAAGATCTCGACAATCTTAGTGACTCATTTTAGTTAATTTTTTGAGTAAGCGGCGTTTAGCCTCCTATGATTTTTTTCTATTTCTTCTTCTTCTTTATTGGCGTCGACTCTGCTTACGCTGTTATAGCCTAGTTTACAATAGCGCGCCAGACGAAACTGAGAAATTATCTTTGGGGAGCACGCTATGTGTCCATCGAAGCTATTAAAAGTTAATTGCTGGAGTCGCTAAGGACCATCCCAGGTGGGGTTTATAACAAATTGAAGCTTAATTGATGTGCTTCTATAGGCTAAGAAAGCGTCTAAGTTTTAAGGCGATAATAAAAAATTGTAGATTAAATGTTGTTGTTGGTTTTTTTTAGTTTTTGCCACTCCGGGTTAATTTTGATCAGTTGTTGCACTACACTGCTTTTGGTTTTAGCTTTTCTAATTTCTAATTATTGAGTTAAATAATTTTTGTGTATAGTCGGCGTTATGTTAAGATGATTCAGTTGCTACAAACTACCTATTATATTATCAAAATACCGGCTATGAGTAGAAACTAACTACATAATAAATTAGTATAAATCTACGGAGATGTTTTATGCTAATCTTTATTACACATTATTTTTACTTCTAGCGTGAACTTAGTCCACTAACTACTCCTAAACATCTTTATTTTACACTTTAATATTTACGGTAAAGAATTTTGTAATTACGGCAATTTTAAGTTGTGCGATAATTATGTGTATACCGAAGTGCAGGGTGCTTACATTTACTAACGGAGTAAAATGGGTTTGATTTTGAATCTTAATTTATTATTTTATCAATTTAGCATAAAATCGTGGCATGATGGAGTAAAGTAAGTTTAGAAAGGGCAAGAACCCGTATTATTCCCCGTAATACTTCCTCTGATTATATTTTCAAAATAAAATAATAATTTATTAAGATGAACTTGAAACTGAAAGCAATGAATTGTTGGGTTCGTTTAAGATTTTTTGCTTTGAGGGTCTTGCGTTCATAATTGCAACGGAATATGTAAAGATTACAAATCTGAATCGAAAAAATGAATAAATGCTGCACTAGCGATAGACGAAGCTGGTTAAATTACAGAAATAGATGAATCATCGTTTAACACATATATACCAAGAAGATGATTTTATGATAATTTTTAGTGGTTCCTTCATTCAAAAAGGAACATGGGCACATACAAACCAATCCGTCGAAGCTTTAGAAATATGTTTGCACAGCTATCGAGGTATTTGAATCAATCCAAAAAAAGAAAATAAAAACACTAAATATTAGATTCATGGTAAATAGCGAACCGACAAACGAGCATCATAGATATAACAACTGCATAAATCGAGAGCTTATATTTATGCTTATGCACTTAAGTTTAACTTAGGAGTCAAATGTTAATGTGAAACCAAAATGAAATTGTGGAACTGGCATTGTTCAGAAATGGTTTTGGTTTGAAAACATTATGAGACCTTAAATAGAGGATTTGGTCAATTTCACCAAATAATTTAATCAAATGTTTTTGGTAAATTTGATGTATTGCATTATTCTACTTTTAGTGAATTGTTTGATAAGAATATGCATAAATTATTAGTCTGCGGTTTTTGGTACAACAATTGTGATTCATTTCCTAGCATACATATTGGCGTTGGAAAGACGCTACCTCTTTTAAATTCAAGAAACTTAGCTCGTTCTGTATACAGCTTTGAATTTAAACTGAAAATTATTTAGTTGATATTTGGATGATCTTTTTTCATTAAGTTTAGAATTAACCATTTTCTACATGGTTTAGATACCGAAAGCTAATATATTTATGAAATTTTATATTGTAATAGCTGTGCCATTGTTGATAATAGATAGTAGTGGACACCCTGAAAGATATTATGTGAAAGCTCTGTATTCATTTTGTTTTTCTTTAAAGTTAGCTTTGACTAAGTGGAACTACTTCAGTAAGCGTTTAAATTACTTCTTATACATGTCAGATATAAGCTCTCGATTTTATCTCCAAAATATTACAATTTTAAATGGTTTGGAATGAAGTTTTCAAAATTGAATGAATGAATTCGAAAATGGGAATTGAAGATGATATACATTGTGACATAAAAGC